CCAAATGGCATGTAGCATTGTGCTACCTTTAGCGGCTGCCTGGGATGGCTGTCCTGTTTGATACATAGACCCTGTTCAAAGGGCTCATTAGGGGGGCTTTTCTGTGGAGGGGAGCGGTCAAGGCCAAGATCCCCTGCCCCAGCTGCATCGTTTTGTAGCCCAGCCTGACTTCACAGTTTGCACATGTGCAGCAGACAATGGGGCTCTGCTCCATTCCTAGTCTGCTTGGTTCAGTGAGGGGGGAGGGGGGCACTGGGTCCAGGGTGCCATGTGGAGAGTTAATGGCCCAGTCATGGTCCCCAGGGTAGGATCCGGCCTTTGGTCTCGACTGAACCTCTGAGTGCTGTGACTGTGCTCCTCCCCGCGTGCTGCTGGATCCGCAAAAGAGTCTTTAATCCAGCTGTCCGTCCGTCTGATGGCCGGGCTCCAGACCCCCTCCTGGACTCTACGGCCCGGTAATCACTCCCCAATGGTGGGGAGGTGGGGCGGCAGCTGACAGAACTGCTCTGGCAGCAGCCGTACCGCGCCTTTAGCACGCAGGGACTCTCCGAGAAGAGAGACTCTCGCTTACCGGCGGTGGGGGGGCGGGGGCTCTGGCTGAATACAGACGACCGGCTGTCACTCCGCTAACGAGGCCGTCCGTCGTTATCGAGAGGAACCGTCGCCGGAGTTAATTAGCCTCTCGTCAGTGTTGCTGTCGCTAAACATGAATCGCGGCATCTTTTTGACCCCCCCCTCCCCCATGTCACTGTCGCCCTGGGCAGTGGGGGGCGCTCACACAACCCGGCTTCAAAACCACCTTCAGAGGCATCTTCGTTCCGTTAGAAGTGTGACTGCTGCTTTTGGGGGCCTCTCCCCCAGTCCACAGGCCCTGCCCCATCCCACCCCCGGCTCGCCGCATCAGCAGACACCCTCGTTAATTAAATTAATGCTGACAGGCTCCCGTTCCTGGGTCGCTACAGGATTCCCCCTGGTTTCCAGCCAATGGAGTCACCTGCATGCCCTCCCGAGACCCCCCCCCCATGACATTAATTAATCCCTGTATGACAGGAGTTTCCCCCCCCCCCCCCCCCCAACACATTCCTGCTGCATGGTACATCTCCTCCACTCCCCGCCTTCGTTATGTCTCCAGGGGACCCCCCTCCCCATTCTGGAAAAAAGGGCCTTGCATGACTTTACTTGACGAGGCGGAGTCGATTCGCCGATTAGCATTCTTAGTGCGGGGGTGAGGTAACAGCAGCCGCCCTTGTCCATGTGACCCGGCAAGAAAACCCACGAGTATGCCAGCAGATATGGGGGGGCAATCCTGGGTGCTGTGAAATTCGATATTCAGCCAGTATGCCAGCAGATATGGGGGGGCGACAACCATGGCCGCCGTGAAATTTGCCATTCAGCAATGATTCTTTTTTTCTGATTTGTGCTGTTTGGCGCGGTGATATTTATATACTCGTCCTGATCCAGCGAGTTGTTCCAGAATGTTCCTACCTGTCCCTGTTCCTGTCACCCACAATGGCGTTTGAGACTCTCACCCACCCCCCTAACCCCCCGCACTGTTCAGCAGGGGGGCATCTCCTCCACTCTGTTTTCCCTCTACGTCCGACGCACCGAGGCAGAAGGGATTGTGGGAAATGGGAGGCGAATGTGGAGTGCCTTAAGTGAAATTTATGGAATGAGAGAAACAGAAGGCGGGTGACCTGTGGATATTGATGGGGATGCCCCTATAGCCCCCTTGTTCCTGGAGCACCCGGGCTAGCCGGGGGGAGATGGGCGGGGTTCCTCTCTTCATGCGCGGCTCACTGATTGATTCCTCTCCACATCCACTTATATCTCTGCAGGAGGAAGACGTGCGTGAGGAGGAGAATGGGCGGATCGAGCCGGTGGGCCGCGCAGATTCTGGCCAGGAACACACTTCAGTGCTGTCTCTGGAGTAAGAGCTCACCCCCATGTGTGCATGTGCGTGCTCTGGCCTGGGGGGGGTCCACTCTCACCCTCTTTGGGTGTCTGTGACTCATAGAACCTCATCACCAATGGTGCTGGACCAGCATTTGGATGCATGTCCTCTGAACGGAGAGGGAACAGGGAGAGAAGGAGGGGGGCAGACAGAGGGAGAGGGAGGGGGGCAGGGAGAGAGAGAGGG